AAGCATAATCATGAGGATGTCCCATTCGGGACATTCGTCCATTTCTATTTCCTCCAACGAAGGATACGAATCCGGTTGACAAGCAATTGTGTGAATGAAGGATGTAATACCGTTATCGACGTATAATTTGGCGTTTCTATTTATAATCTTGACCGTTTTCAGAGTGTTGATGGATGATTTGTCCCAACAAACCAGACCGCTATAGACCTCTAATGTCTGAAGAACTGGCCACATAGTAGCAGTGATGGTTAGGATGGGGGTTCCATTGGTGGGGTCGGATGGTAGTCTATAAGGTGCCATGCAGCAGAGTGATTCCACCCCAGCAGAGGAGAGTGTGGAAAGAACCTCTTCATCGGATGATATGGAAAGGAACCTAACCGACTTTGGGACAGGTGCGAGATTGTTGGTAGGCCCCACTTCTCCACTACAGAATATGAAGAGGTCTTCAACTCGAGACCAACCTTCCAACTCAAAGAATTTGAACGAGTGGGGGATCTCGGTTGTCGAAAGCGTGATGCGTTCCGACGCCGGCATCGCGCGGAGGATCATCCCGGATATGATTTCTGATCCTCGAGAAAGGCGCTTGCCAGCTGTACTTCCAGCCATGTCCCAGGGGGCAAACATATAGATCTCCAGAGAGCGAACTGTTGAGTTTGGCACTATCTTATCAGGAGGATTGTACACATCGTTATGAGTAAGGGATATGGAAGCCCTAAAATGGTTCAAACTTGGGAACTGGTAGGCGATGGAAATGACGGCTTTGAATATAGGAAAGTCACTCCGGATCTCCAATGAAGTGAGGAATGGGAGACGATGAAGGAATGCGACAGGAAGAGGGTAAGAATAAGTATCGAAGGTGAGTCTTGTCCACTCAAGCCGACGAGAGCTGTGATAGGAAGTGTAGTATAATGCCGGATCCGCGAAGTCTTCTAGGCTGGCGACAGGGTCTGTTTGACAAGTCACCCTCTTGATCCCCGGCATCTCCTCGAGCACTCCAGATATGGATAAGAGGTCCTCGTATGTGGTAACCTCCTTTAGGTCTAGTCTGTGCTTCACGCATCGCAACAATTCGGTGGTGAGAGGAATGTTTGGGAGCTGCCTCAGGGAGGGGAACCTTTCGAGGATATAAGGCAGATCCTGCCAGCGTCTCATCGCTTCATAAGTCTCCCCTAGTTGCCTTAGGTGAGGAAGCGGGAAGAGGTCCTCCAGCATTTTGCGGACGGATGCAGACGACTGGCGGCGCTCAAGATAGCTTTCCTCGTCCAATGCAATCACTTCGATCCTTTCTCGATGCTTAATCAATTCGGGGAGTACTTGGTTCCATTGAGTAAAGGGGAGGTGGAGGACTAGAGTAATGGGAAGGTGAGCAGAGAGCTGAAGCTGTCTAGCGACGATTGCGGCATTATCGTATCGACGAGTCTTGAGGATGATGACATTCCAGAGGATCGGTTCTGCGTGAAGAAAGTTCCTCCATCGCTTCGACACTCTCGTCAAAGGGACCAAGTATTCCGTACGAGGAATATTATGCCACGTGAACATATTCTTTAGCACTGCAAAGTGCACAAGAATGCTGCTCCATATCTCATTAGGCAATTTGTCCATAGGATCAATGCGCGGTCCCTGACGAAGAACGCGAA